CAAGGAGTCACATGGAAAAGATGAGGCCTAATGGGTACAAGTTACTCCCAGGGAGATTCCAGCTGGACTCAAAAGAAAATCTTTTCACAGCAAGAACAATCATCCACAGGAATAATCTCCCCAGGAAAGTGGTGGATTCCCCGACACTGGGGAATATTTTATTTAATTTTGAGGTGGTATTTGGGGCTAGAATATTAGGAGTATGCAGGAAGCCAAAACCCTTTAAAACAGAATGCTTGTACTGAGCCCACTATAAAGCATCTATACTAAATTTCTAAGATACTATCGTAATTAACTTTTCTTGTAGATTATGTGCTAAAAAAAAAAAATAATCTATTGGAATCTGTAATACCCAGTGCTGAATGGCAGTGGTGAGATGGGGAGGTGTTGAAACAATGCAGAGCATGGAATTTTTCACTAAAGTCTGCACAGTAACTATGAAAGCTCTATGATATAGCTGACAATAGCTCAAGAAAAAAAAAAATACAAAAAAATACAATCATGTATACATTAGTTACTATTCACATGTACAGATGCACCTACTCTCATGTGCTATTAAGAAAAGCAGTGAAAAAAATGCTGAAAAGTCATGGATGTCCCAGTTTTAGAACATCGAGAACCACAAAACATTTAACAGGGAAAACATAACAATGACCAAAACCACAACAATAATTAAAAAAACCCAAGTACACCAAGGAGTAAAATGAACATAAAAACACAAGACAGAGTGCTGTCTACCCTTTTCCTCAGTTCCTACCTCCTCTCACACTCTATTTCCCCCCTGAAACTGTATGCCATGTCTTCATCACTACCACTTCATGCATGCCACTTCATCACTGCAAGCTCACCCAAGGAGGGATGTGATCTCAACCTAGAATCAGTTTCTTGGAGCAGAGACATTATTGCCCACCAATTGGTACTTGGGAACATTAATAGAGGGGTGGAGTTTTAGGTTCACTGTACACACAAGATGAAAAAAGAAATTGCAATAACATTCATGCTAATCAGTAGGGCTTAATGGGAAACAGATCTTGTTGATAAGGACTACGTCTTGTTGAGATTACAAATATGGCTGAAAAAGTTATCTCTGAGTACATACTGTCACCAAGTAGTTCACCACATTCTGATCAAAAAATTGGCTCTATTTAAAAAAAAAAAATAGATGCGGTATATATTCAATGAATTAAAACTGGCTGATAGCAAAGCTAATTGTTAACTGCTAATCATCATCTAATAAGAATGGTTTTAGTCATATCCCACCACAGTCTATTCTTGGCTCCATACTATTCAATATTTTTTCAATGATCTGGAAGAAAATATCATTGCTGGTAAGGTCTCTAGATTACACAAAATCAGTGAAGTGGTAAATTAGTATAAGGACAGGTCAGTTCTACAGAGTAATGACGTTCATTTAGCAAGATTAGATCGTCTGAGCATCATGCCTTCTAAAACATCCAAATTTAAGGACAAGCATCTGTGAAAATGGAATTCAGGTCAGAGTTGCAGGAAGGGGGAATAGTAATAGAAAAAGTGTTGTCTCTGAAGTGATAAAAAGATGATGTTCCAAACATGAGTGACTGTTATGGGGGAATATGTAAAAAGCCAAGCAGGAATCACATTCAGAAATAAAAAAATAATACTGTTGGTAAGCACAAACTGTTTATTCCCATGTACAAACTCATTAATAATGTTAATAAATTAGTAACAAAAGCCTGTGGTCTGCAAAAGAGGATGTTTACAAATTGGAAATATTCAGTGAAGATCCAAAATTGCTACCTGAGACCTGGAAAATCTTAGTTTTTATAGAGGCTTGTGCTCAGACCTGTTAATATACATGGGAAAGGTTATGTGTTCATTTGATTACTGTGTATGCCAGGAAAAGATTCCTGACTAGCAAACAATGACAAAACATCCTCCACTGGCTAGGAAAATGAAACTAGACAATTTTAGATTAGTAATAAGTGGTTTTTAACAATTAAAGGAATCAAATGGCAGAGGAATTTATTTTGAAACACAGAATCGTAGAATCATAAAATGATTTGGATTTGAAGGGACCTTAAATATCATCCAGTTCCACCCCCCCTGCCATGGGCAGGGACACCTTTCACTAGAGCAGGGTGCTCAAATCCCCGTCCAACCTGGCCTTGAACACTGCCAGGGAGGGGACATCCACAACCTCTTCGGGCAACCTGATCCAGTGTCTCATAAATCCTCACAGTAAACATTTTATTCCTTATAACTAATCTAAATATATAATCTTTCATTTTAAAACCATTACCCTCATCTTATCATTACAATCCCTGATAAAAAGTCCCTCTCCATCTTTCCTGTAGGCCCCCTTTAGGTACTGGAAGGCCACTATAAGATCTCCCTGGATCTTTCTCTTCTCCAAGATGAACAACCTCAATTCTCTTAGCCTGTGCTTATAAGGGAGGACCTCCAGTTCCCTGATCACGCCTGTGGTGCTCCTCTGGACCTGCTTGAGCAGTCCTATGTTTTCCTTACACTGAAGGCCCCAGACCTGGACACAGCAATGAAGGTGGGGTCTCATGAGAGCGAAGTAGATGGGGAGAATCACCTTCCTCAACCTGCTGGCTACACTTCTCTTCATGAAGCCAGGGTGTAACTGGTTCTCTGGGCTGATGAGTGCACATTGCTGGCTCATAGTCAGTTTTCCATCCACCAATACTCCTAAATCCTTCTCCTCAGGGCTGCTCTCAATCCACTCATTGCCCAGCCTGTATTTGTGCTTGGGATTATCTCAACCCATGTGCAGAAACTTGCACTTGGCCTTGTTGAACTTCATGAGGTTCGCACAGGCTCACCTCTCCAGCCTGTCAAGGTCCCTCTGCGAGTCAGCTACACCACTCATATTGGTGTGATCAGCAAACTTGCTGAGGGTGCACTCAGTTCTACTGTTCAAGTCATTGACAAAGACATTGAACAGAATCTGTCCTGATACCAACCCCTGGGGAACTCCACTTGTCACCACTCTCCACTTGGATTTCGAGATGTCGCTTGCAACTCTTTGAGTGTGACCATCCAGCCAATTCCCTATCCACCAAATTGTCCATCCATCAGACCTATGTCTCACCAATTTAGAGATAAGGATGTCATGCAGGACAGAGTCAAATGTCTTGCACAAGTCCACACAGATGACATCAGTTGCCTTCCCTTACACATCAGCACTGTAACCCCATCATAGAAGTCCACCAAATTTATCAGGCATGATTTGCCATTAGTGAAGCCATATTGGCTGTCACAAACCACCTCCTTATTTTCCAGGTGCCCTATCGTAGTTTCCAGGAGTATCTGCTCAATGACCTTGCTGGCCACAGAGGTGAGACTGAATGTCCTGTAGTTCCCTAGGTCTTCTTTTTCCCCATTTTAAAATGAGGGTTATATTCCCCCTTTTCCCATCATCAGCAACTTCACTGGACTACCATGACTTCTCAAATATGATGGATAGTGGCTTAACCACTTCATGTGCCCGTTCCCTCAGGACCCACAGACGCATCTCACCAGGTCCCATAGACATTTGCACCTTCATATTCCTTAGATGGTCTTTAACCTGATCTTCTCCTGCAGTGGGCAGTTCTTCATTCTCCCAGTCCCTGCCTTTGCCTTCTGTGACTTAGGCAGTGTGGCAGAAGTACTTGCCAGTGAAGACTGAGGCAAAAAAGTCATTGAGTACCTCAGCCTTCTCCATATCTCAGATAACCGGGTCTCCCATTTATTTTGGGAGAGGCCCTAAATTTTTCTTGGTCTTTCTTTTACCTCTGATGTACAGATAGAAGCGCTTTTTTTGTTGCCCTTGATGTCCCTGGTCAGATTTAATTTTATCAGGGCTTTGGCTTTCCTAACCTGATTCCTGGTTGCTCAGATCAGGCCTATTCAACATGGGTATATGAAAGGCAGGTCCTGCCTGACAAACCTGATCTCCTTCTATGACAAGATGATCTGACTGTTGAATGAGGGAAAAGCAGTGGATAATGTCTACCTGGACTTTCGAAAACCATTTGACACATCTCCCCATAGAATTCTCATAGAAAACTGGCTGCTCATGGCCTGGAAGAATGTACAATCTGCTGGGTCAAGCACTGGATGGATGGATGGATGGATGGATGGATGGATGGATGGATGGATGGATGGTCCAAGAGAGTGGTGGTCAGTGGAGCTCAATCCAGCTGGCAGCCGGTCACAAGTGATGTTCCTCAGGGCTCAGTGTTGGGACCATTTCTGTTCAACATCTTTACTGATGATCTTGATAAGGACATAGAGTGTAACATCAGTAAATTCACAGATGACACCAAGTTAAGCGGGAGTGTCAATCTGCATGAGGATAGGGAGACTCTACAGAGAGACTTGGAGACTTGGATAGACTGGATCGGTGGGCCAACATTAAGGGGTTGAGCTTCAACAAGGCCAAGTGCCAGGTCCTGCACTTGGGCCACAACAACCCCCTGCATGGCTACAGGCTTGGGGAGGTGTGGCTGGAGAGCTGTCTGGAAGAGAAGGATCTGGGGGTTCTAATTGACAAGCAGCTGAACATGAGCCAGCAGTGTGCCCAGGTGGCCAAGAAAGCCAACAGCATCCTGGCGTGTATTAGAAACAGTGTGACCAGCAGGAGTAGGCAGATGACAGTCCCCCTGTACTCTGCACTGGTGAGGCTACATCTTGAGTATTGTGTCCAGTTTTAGGCACCTCAATATGAGATATCGAGGTGCTGGAGCGAGTGCAGAGGAGGGCAATGAAGCTGGCGAAGGGCCTGGTGAACAAATCCTGTGAGGAGGGATTGAAGGAGCTGGGGCTGTTCAGTTTGAAGAGGAGAAGGCTGAGAGGACACCTCATCACTCTCTACAGCTACCTGAAAGGACATTGTAGAGAGGTTGGTGCTGGTCTCTTCTCACAGGTGATTAGTGACAGAACAAGGGGGAATGGCTTTAAACTGCAACAGGAGAGGTTTAGACTGGACACTAGGAAAAAATTTTCACAAAAAGAGTGGCCAGACAGTGGAATAGGCTGCCCAGGGAGGTGGTGGAGCCCCCGTTCCTGGATGTGTTGAAGGGTGGTTTAGATGAGATGTCGGGGGATATGGTGTAGGGGAGAACTTTGTAGAGTAGGGCTGATGGTTGGACTCGATGATCACAGTGATCCAACCTGAATGATTGTCTGATTCTTTGATTCTGTGACATTTTCTCTATTTCTTCCAGGATATCTGGTTTTGTTTTCATCTTCTGTAGGCTTCCTCTTTGTGTCTGTGTTGGTCCAGAATCTCCTTGTTCATCCATGCAGGCCTCCTGGAGTTTTTACTTGACTTCCTCTTTGTTGGGATACATCGCTCCTCAGCTTGGAAGAGATGATCCTTGAATATTAACCAGCTTTCTTGGGCCCCTCTTCCCTCCAGGGCTTTATCCCATGCTACTCTGCCAAGCAGATCCCTTAAGAGGCCAAAGTCAGCTCTTCTGAAGTCCAGGGTAGAGAGCTTGTTGTGCACCCTCCTTGTTGCCTTAAGGGTCTTGAGCTCCACCATTTCACTGCCACTGCACTCAGTGCTGTCCTTGATCTTCACATTCCCCACCAGCCCCTCCATGTTGGTGAGAATAAGGTCCAACATTTCACCTCTCCCTGTTGGCTCCTGTATGACTTGGAGAAGAAAGTTATAACCAATGGATTCCAGGAACCTCCTGGATTATTTATGCCCTGCTTATGTCCCTCCAACAGATATTTGGGTTGTTGAAGTGCCCCATGAGGACTAGGTCTTGTGAACATGAGGCTGCTGCTGTCTGTAGAGGGCCTCATCTCCTGGATCTTCGTGACCTGTAGCAGACACACACTGTAATATCACCAGTCCCTGATTTCCCTTTAATCCTGACCCATAAACTCTCAGTTGGCTCCTCATCTATCCCCAGGTGGAATTCCATGCATTCCAGCTGGTCACTGACATAGAGGGCTATTCATCTTCCCTGGTGTCCTTTCCATTCCAACACTCCAGTGATAGGAGCTATCCCACCACTTCTCCATGATGCAAATAAGATCGTAGCCCTTTAAGAATGCACATGACTCTAACCCCTCTTGTTTATTCTTCATGCTATATGTGTTTACAGAGAGGCATTGAAGTTTGGCCCCTGATGAAGCTGTCTTATTGGATGGAATTCCCTTGTGCTGCTTTTCAGGTGCTCTCCTGCTAACCTGTGATCCCTCTCTGGGCTCTGGGCATCTATTGCTGGTGCTGGCATCAAACTGGTAGGAGTGGTATGGATTGAGGTTTCACTCCCCTGGCAACTTTAGTTTAAAAACCTCTTCACCAGCTTGGCAAGTCTATCAGCCCCGGTAGACCAGGTTTCTCAAAGTTAGTCCCATGGTCTAAGTAGCTAAACCCCTGGCTGTGGCACCAGTCCCATAACTGTTTGTTGATCCACCAGAGTTCACAGGTCCTTTCAAGCCCCTTCCCTTTGACTGGGAGGATTGATGAATAAACTATGTGTCCTCGGGTTCCTTACCTCCACTTCCAGGGGTCTGTAATCCTTGATACTCCTCAGACTGCTCCTGGCTCTATTGCTTGTGCCCACAGTCTCTTGGTGACATCACTGATACAAGCCCCCAGAAAGCAATACACCTCTCTTAGAAAGTGCATCAGGTCAGCAGATGGGTGCCTCCAAACCTCTCAGAAGTGTTGCCAACTGCTATCACTCACCACGTTTTCTTAGTTGCACTGGTTGTTATACAGGCAGCAGATCAAGTTGCTTTATTCAGCTCCAGCATCTCTCCTGATGTGACAGGTCTTTCCTCTTCAGTCTGCAGAGCAGTGAACTGTTCCTGCAAGGGCACCTCAGGCTTCAGGGGAAGTCTCTTCCTCCTGCAGGTCACTGCCATTGCAAGCTTACATTCTCCTGCATTATTGGCCCCCCTCCATTCCATATGTGCTGGTTAGAGAGGTTTTGGCTGTTTGGCTGTGGGCTGTGGATCCACTTCAGACTGCACTTGTGTAGACTAAATAAAACCATATGTTCGGGTTAATTCCTAAGCTAAATTGAATGTACTGCACTGATCTTCTAAGGAAGACCACTAAACATTGTCTCTATTGTGTAAGCCTGATTCTTTGTATAAATGATGCAGGCTTTGCTAACAGCTGTACCCTTGAAGAGGAGCTAAAAGATTGATAAGAGAGGAGCATCCTGCCCCAGAAGGAACCAAAGGATGGATGGTTGGCCAAGAAGCAAGAAGTCAGCAAAAATCTGTGGTAACTGGGGGAGAGGTGATGGTGGCAGGGGCAGATTGTGACCACTGACTCAATCCAAGACCAAAAAGACGCTCCCTACACCTGTAAAGAGCATGCATGCTAACTTATATAGCAAGAGTCTAATTTAAATATAACTAACCAATATCAGATGGATGCTAATTACGGACCAATTAGTGTAAATTTAGACAGGTTTTTCCTCATCATGTAACAAGATAAACAGGATGTAGTTGCTTTGTGTGGTGTGCTAGCTCTGTGGAATTACCACCTGATTGGCGGCAGGCTCTGTTTGCAGTGCTCCTGGCCCCTTGTGCTCCCCAGGGCTGCCCTTTGTGGGAGTGTGGGGTGGCCATCATTACTCCTGGCCCCACTCATGCCTCATCAGTCGCTCTCTCTCATGAGAGCTGAAGGCTCCTGGCAGGTCCCCATGCTTTCCTGGGGTTTCTCTGGCTCCCTCCTGTTCACCACAATCCCCCGCTCCATTGCGCAACATACCTGCAGTGGAACTGATCGCCTCGGAGAGTGATGTGGTGGAGCCTCTGTTACTTGAAGGCCCTACATTTTGTAAAAGGTATTCTTCAGTCCACCAAAGTTTGTAGCTTCAGGAATGAGTATTTACATTCTTTGTTATATAGAATGTCAGAATAGATGCTCACAAAAATCTGTACATGAAGGATCTAAGATGTTGCTATAAATGAAAAAAGAGAGAAAAAAGATGGATAAAATGGACCAATAAATCAAGATATATAGAAATAAGATAAAGAGAGATGGCCATGTTAACACTGATGAGGTACATCCAGGATAACCTTTTATACATTTCAAAACTTTTTAAACCTTAATATTCATGTCCACAGTCCTAAGCAAAGCTAACAGCAGAGGGACTGTTTTAAAGTGCATCCTGACCACAGAAGGAGAGAGGGGAAATGCATTGCTGTAAAACTTTGGACAAGCTTTGCTGTTATGGAAGACACAGAGAAAATCAATGTCCAACAATCACCAGTGGCTGACGACCCTCAGCCAGCAGTGCAAGAGAAAAGCATCAGTGGCACAGATAAGAGCATAAGGGGAATGAATCATGTGGAGGACAGATTCTGTGCAGCACACTGGTGTGTTTGGATAAACATTTTGCACATTAAGTACAGTTTACTCTTTTGTGCATTTTATCTGAAATACACTGACCTCAGCCAAGAAAAAGGACATGTCCATGAGTTCTGAAGTGGCCCCCACAACAGGTGTAGAAATGCCCACCTGTAAAAGACCAGCTGTCTTTTATGGCTGTGTCTTGTCAACCAGTAGACATCAACCAAATGCGGCACCATCACAAAAAGGCAAGTGAGATGCTTGTGCATCTAATGCTTTTCTCATTTTCTGTATTGTTGTTGTGTTTCTGATTACAACTTGTGAAAACATGTAAATACTTTCATACGCCACAGACAGTTTAAATAATTATTTTGTTCTGGGAATGCTACTTTGTTTCCTTTTTGGTTTTTAAATCAGAATATCGTGCCCAGATATAGGCAATCTAATGAGCTCTAGTGTTTTGTTTTTCCATTATTACCTCCAAGTCAAGAAGACCATTTTCTGAAAACTTACTAGCCTGAACTGAAAATGTGGAATTCCACATAATAGTCTACAAGATTATTCCAGTATGGATTATCTTTGATGATATTTCCTCAACATACCAAATACAGATCAAAAGCTCATAATGAGAAATCAACCTGACTCCAAATCATATTCCAGGCAGCAGAACATTGTATGCTTCAGGCTGCATTGTGGGTTTGTATAAACTTGCCCTGAAAGCCATGTATCGACCAAACAATGTTTTCAGCAGCTGCTAATTAGCACTATTCCAGACTGGAGTACATTATTAGTCAGTACTGCAGCACAATTCAGTATAGCCTGTTTGTGCAAAAGAAATGTGTTCTAAATAGAAGTGCAGATGCTGCCCAGTGAAAATTTTCAAAACACTTGAACATCAGTGTACTCATGACAAATAAAGCCAGGTGAAGATCTGTCCTGTTTAAAGCTGCAATATGTAAAGGTCAAGGAGGACCATGAGTCTTAGAGAAACCAGTTTGCTAATAACTGGACAAATACTTCTCAAGGCAGGTGTTTGAGACAGACAATAAAACTCTCTGAGCATGACCCCATCTCTCAATGCAATAATAAATTTGAGAATATTGCTCAACTTCTGCCTCGGTATATCCCAAGGTGACTGGAACATCCTACCTTGATAGTATATGTAAAGCTTTTTAAGCCTGCTAATAACTATTAGCATCATAATGTGGAGGGCAAGAACTTTCTGCGAGACACTCAGACAAATCTCTCTTTATTTTCAGGATGGAGAAAAGTCTCCTTCATTAACAGGATCCCTCTGGAGGTTTTCAGCCGAGTAGAAGTACACACTCAGCACCCAGAAAGGGAGTGGCTGCTGTGACTGTGAGCCTGCAACTCAACTCACAGGTCCCACAGTGGAGTAATTGCTAATATATGATTCTCCCTTGCTGCCTGAGTAAGTGCATATTAACCCTTTTAAATTTACTCTGTTTTGTTGTGTTCCACTTCTATTTCTGAGATACGTAAAGACCACCACTGGTAGGAGTCTTTATAGATGTAAGAAGGAAAATATTCCCATTCCACCACATAATTTCTATATGTCACTACTGAGGCTTTCTATGTGGTCTGTCTTTTTAGCAAAAACCTGAGTATCTCACTGGTATCTCTGGTAACACAATGTGAAAAACAGCATCTGCCTCTATAACGCAATAAAATTGACCTATAGCCCAGTCTGTTTCTGCCAGCTGAAGGTTATTTTGCTTTGACATATCCTTGCGGTGTCCTCCTCTTTAATTAATAATGTTCCTGCCATGTATTATGAAAGTCACTCTTTTGCACATACTGTTATCTTTCCAAATTAGGCATTTT